ATTGGATTTGCTGGAGTCCTTTTCAAGTGCATTGCAGGCAAATTGCTTGGCTTGTGCATAGAAACTTTAACAATATTTTTAAGCAGGTCAAGCATTGCCTTGTATGGAATGCAGGTGAAAAATTTAAATATATGGTCGATATGGGGAGCAAGCATATCACCAAAGCCCTGAGTTGCTGCCCATAATAGCATTTTCATGTAACGCGGCGCCAAATTGACTTTTGTATGTATCTGTGGCTGTGCTAGAGAGAGGGAGAGTGTGTGTGAGTGCCCTAGGCTTAGGTGTGAGCTGTCACGCATTTTCGATTAAAACTTTGGCCAGCCTCGTGGTCTAATCAGAGTCGCAAAGAAGTCCTGCTCAGACGCACATATGGCTAGCGAGGGCAAAGGTCATAGCCAAGCGCATTATTGGATCGTCCAGCCAAAGGGCGTAAATTACTTTTGGCAGGCAGTTTCAGCACATGTGAACATGTGGGCAGGGCAGGGCAGGGCAGGGCAGTCGATGAACAACACTTAATTGATCCACAGGACGCGCTGCGCATATGAAATGAGTTTTAGTTATGTTCATTTGTATGGCCGTGCGACTGTGTATGTGTCCGTGTGTATGTGTGTGTGTGTGCGTGGAAACTTGGGATATTTATAAACTGCAGCCAAACAGTGGAGCCTCATATGTGAAATGAAAAACTAGCGGCTGTTGTATATGTACTTCGCATGATTACCTTGTTATCCTTCTGCCAGGAGCAGGAGCCACGCATATCGATTACTTTGCACGTGAGTAGCGCATCCTCGCGCGGATTCACCTCCGTGTACTTGGGCTGCTCGGCGAAGCGCTGAAAGCACTCGGCTCCTGCAAGACAAAAAGAAAACAATCCGCATGAGCATTGGCAAGTGTCACGTGGCCATAAGAAATGTGCTCGAATGGACCGAGCTGTTTATTGCACAATCATTTCAGGACTTACCTGGCCTACCTCCCCCCTACTACCCCTCGTCAGTCCTATCTGCGCTACAATTCGAGCGCATTGTTAATAGGGCAACGCGTTGACATTGCTTCATACTATCATAAATAAGCAGCACGCGTTCACCCTCTCCTCCCCTCCCCGCACTCCGCCACCAAGACTCGCATGCGCATGTAAGTATGCTATATTTTTAATATCGCTCGCCGCGTCCTGCATTTGTCACGCACGCGGGCAATTATCAGCGACACTCGCCGCGGCAAGCGCACTGCGGCAGCCATTTGCTTATCTCTCCACTTGCCACGCCCAGCATCATGGGCGCTTCATTATCAGTTGACTGTGTTCTCCTCTAAAATACTCTGAAACACAGTTCGCTTATGTTTCGCACATCAAAGAACTTTACTGAACTCTACGTGTATTTATAAATATATATGCCGAAGAACTTTACCTCTGCATATACATTAATTTGTCTGTTTGTCTCATTGTACGTTATATATTTAAAAATAAACTCAATTTACATTATAATTTTCTTTATTAATATTGCATTTAAATAATATTATTATATC